TGCAAATAAATCCACAAATCCTCATGAGATGTTTCCATATCTCAAGGGTCAGTCACAGGGTATATTATTAGGCTAACATGTGCTTCCAAAACCTAATAAAAGAACAAGGCATTATCATGTCTCTCCTCTTTCTTTTTTAAACATCACAAATAATTTTGATCATGTCGTCTCATTCAAATATTGGATTGACTTCTGATTCGATTATGATCTGCTCCAAACCCATTTCTCTTACTCAAATCTAAAGCGGATTTTCAATTTTAATAAAATCTAAGAGAAATAAGGAGTGCACACACAGAGAGACACTCTGAGATAAAACTATGTGGGGGAAAACAAGCCTCTCTGCAATGTCCTCATGCAGTGTCTCCAGCAGAATCCAATACAACCACCGCTGTGCTACTCACCATCAAGTATTAGTCACACCCGGGCGCTACACTGTGATTTACTATTCAAGGTCAGCTGAAGATCCAGATGCAAACAGAGCTGTGTAGTCAAGCCATCTTTAAAGAGCTATTTCCTTAGTACAGTAATCTGAAATTATTTGTTGGCAAGACCATGTCGGGATCCCCACTCTTTGACCACTGCCTTGACTTTAGGGAGCCAGGAGACACATTTTCAAACATGAAGGTTGCTAATACTAACAATTCATAAAGAAGGAGGAAGATACCTGCAGGTTCATGTTTTAGCCTTAAGGTCATTGCTAGTCAGCTGGTCTGGTTTTGCTACCCTGTGGCTTAATCAGCACTTGAACAAGGTAACGAATCCCTAGGACTTTCTCTTGGTCCTTTTTCAGTGCCCTGCCACGGCCATTCGCTGAGGTCAAAAATCAACCCTGTTTGGCTCAACATTTCCAAGTATTGCTCCGTGTATGCCAGAATTAGTGCAAGTACCTTCCATACGCTTACTCATGACTATTAAACTGGAGTATGATTTTTCGTGATGCTGACTCATGGGAATCCTATCATTCTCCTGAGACAGATCCATTCAGTTCACCAAGACCAACAAAGAGATGGCACCTCCGTAAGAGTCTAATCCTGACAGAATTGGTTTTATGTTAGGGGATGGATGTTTTAAATAAACAGCCAGGACAAGCAGGAAAACAGCATTATCTTCCTATTTGTCTATTATGGAGTTTTGGGGGGGGTGTCTTAATTAAATGTACTTAAGTAAAATTTTTATCTTATGGATGATACTGCTAGTCTTTATGTGTCTTCTGTTGCCTCAAAGCTGCTGTGGCTATAAGACCTATTTTGCTTCTCCCCCAATTTGAAGCAATTGGCACAGGCTGGTTCATCATGGTGTGAAACTCTCATTTAGTAACAGGATTTTCTAAGCAGCCCTATTCTTCTTTGTATAATTTCTTCTCTTACCTCACTTCTTGTAATCCGCACAGAAAACTCTGCTTATCTACCTTATATTAATTTTTTATATTCAGCTCTCTGTATTAAATAACTTCCTTTCTTGACTGTTTTTTGAAATCTTAATGGTATCTCATACAGAGTTTCATTTGTATTTCCCCAAATCCACTGGTGCGATGCCTATAATACTGTTCTGTAAGCTGCTAAAATTAACTTCAGCAATTGTATTAATTGGAATTTGGACTATCAAATGGAATGAATCTTAAAACTTCCTTATCCCAATTTTCCTTTGCACTCATTGTTTGTTATGGCATCATTTGTGAAGGTCATCCCAACCTTATGGGAGAACCAGACAATCTTAATATATTACTCTCTATTTCTTTGTTAAGTTGAACAGCTCCCCATAATGTTATAAAAACCTTCCTCATAGAAAGCTGCCCTCAGTCTTCAAAAACAGAAACAGTATATTTCAACCTAATTTGTGTTTTATGCTTTTAAAATATGCTGATCTGACATCTCTAGAAGCTGGGGTCTGCTGTTTACACACAGAATAAGGACATCAGAGAGAAAAAAAAAACAGCAGAAGCTTCCCATGGCAACTTGCCTTGAAGCTGTCTTTGAACGACCACCTCGAGGGGTGACAGAGCATTTCAGTTTCTGTGTCTCATTCAATGCTGTGGCTTTCTGATGAGGCTTCTAATGAATGAATACAACTGTAATATTGTTTTCTCATATATAACACCACTCCAGTGTGTCTGGTTGGCAGGTCACTGAACACTCATCATGAGGCAATGACTTCCAGTTGGTTACTGTACTTCTAAATGTCAAATTTTATCTTTAAAAACCTCCACTGTGTAAAGGTCTAGCACAGAATTAAGTTCTCTCTCTGCAGATCATCACAGGAATTCAGTTGTTATGCACTTATCATGTACCTTAGCTTTCTGTAGTCCATTTCAGTGCCACCAAACAAATTCCTTCCTGCTAGGTCTCAGTCAACTTCAGTCATATCTGGATTTATCAGTGACCCTTCGTATCTTCAACCAACAGATACAGATGTTTCCATCTGTCTTTTGTTGGATGACTCACTGCCTTATTCCTCCTCCCAATTTATGGTTCTGCTGATTGCTCTGAGAGTTCAAACTCTTTGACGTCATTAAGATCTAACTAGGCTCTCTGCATACCAGACACAGTCATGCTGCTCAACAATTACAAAAGGTAAAATGATTCAAAGGAACATGTCAAAATGTCTCATTTTCCCATTACAACTATTTCTTGAGTTTAACTTAACCTTTTCCATATTCCTGTTTCTGTTTTCCCCTAGTTATAAATGACTTGAGTATCACTTGCTTTTTACTTCACATTTTTCTGTCTTTTTTTAATGGCAAAAAAATCCCTTGCCCATGAGAACCTTCTACCTGAACCAGAGGAAATGTTTACAGTGCAATTGCATATAAATCTTTTGGGTTTCTGATTTTCCTAAAAACACGTATCTCAGCTCAGGTTCACTAAAATCTTTGCCGAATGCTAAGTAAGCCTAAGAAGATTTCCAGTTCTGCACTGAAAGTAATGACATACGATGCACAATGAAAATCATCCCTTTCAACTGAGTTTCGCTTTGATGTTCATGAATGGATTGAATACCAAGCTCATGGCAAAAGCCAAAGGAAGTGTATGGGAGCCTGAAGGTTGAAGGTGGTGATCAAACCCATCAGATAATAAGGTCTCTTTGCTCTGCAGACAATAAATATCATAGTGTCTGCTAATCTAAATCTTTGAAGTATGCCTAAAAATCTACTTTCTAATATGTTTATTGAGGACCTGTGTTATATTTCTACCTGGAAGATCTTCTGCTCGTTTAACTCACACGATGCAGTGACAAGGGCTGGTCTCCGTTCATTTCCTGGAGGTGCCATATCATCAGTCCAGCTGAGTGTATTTTAGAGTTAAACTACTTCATTTATTCATCATCCAGGTATATTGACTATCTATCAGAGTGAAACAGTTCAGTTAAGATATTCTCCTTTCACACTTTCTTTCAGTATGTCAGCTGAAAGTGACGCTAAACTACTGAACTTTATGTTTGTTTTGAAACTGCCTTTTAATCCACTTAAGAGTCTCATCCAGATCTTGAAGAACAAACAAGCAAAAGAGCTGGATTCTATCATGATTAATTACAATGGAAATCAGTCCCAGCCTAAACATTTACTGAATGCTTAATCCCTGTTAATGTTTTTACTGAACTCCATGGAAAAATATATAGTATTTTTATTATCATTATCCTGTTTTGTTTTGTTTTTTTCCTGCAGCAAGTGCTTCCTTGGGAAAAAGGTACATGGCAAAAAGCAGAAATAAGACTTTTTGGTGTGTGCATGAAGATAGCGTTGCTAACAGAGGAGATATTTTAGCACGGGATAAACCATGGAAATAGGCAAACATACAGGAGGTTTATCTGATATGCACAAGCCAACTAGGGCAGTCAGCACGTGCAGAACACCAGAACCGTGTGGGGAAGTGGGTAGCAGCAGAAGGTGATGCCACAAAGAGGTACGGCACAGTGTATGATGAAAAGTTAAGACAGACAATCCAGTGTCAGCTCATTTTCTTTGCTTAAAGTCTGGCTCATTTAACCAGTGTCCACTTTGCTTTTGCCCTTGCTGCATGCAGGAGTCCCTTTCTTAGCACGTTGGGGAAAGTGAATATGCTTTCAGCACATGCTAGTTGATAGCAATCACTGCTTATACCAAGTGATTTTGATCACCCGCTATGTTAGAACAATTCCACAAAACCCGAAAATCCGTGTGATTTTTCACTCACTGTTGTTGTCTCCTCTTTGTCCTAACTTCCCAGAAATGCTAAAAAGATGGACGGAAAGGTAGTCAAAAAGCCACATATGGTGAATGACATTAAACACTAAAATCTTATGTTCTTTGGGTACTTATCCTTCTCACAGTAATTGCAGTAGTGTCTGCACATGAGGAAAAAAAGAACTCGAAAGGTCATCACCTCTTAAACATTGTATTTAATAAAGCACAAAATCAAATTGCTCAAACTCGGGTGCCGCAGCTCAGCCCTGCAGCCACACTACACCATTGAAAGACCACCTTATAAATGTGCTACCTTTTCTTCCCAGTGGAAGTTAAGCTCCTCTATAACCACTTTGCAGCCAAGCAGCAGTAGACATTTTGGTTTCAGTGCTGTGGAAGGATGGTACACAGCACAAGAGAGAAAGATTTTAAGAGGTGAAATCTCTCAAACTACTTTTTGCTTTAGGAATAAATTCAACTACAGATACAACTACTGATCTTCATGCCAGTTCACAGTACCTTCACAGTCTCCATTTGAGGTCTTGATCTGACTTCTCTAGTTATGAATAAGTACTGTCATCAGAGAAGCTCTAAAGCACCATAAAACATTCTTCTTCTCTTACTGCTAAGGACATTTCAACTTCTGTAGAAGACAGAGTCATCCACTGCATACATCGTTTAAACAATAGTAAGAGGAATATATGCCCATCATTAAGTATACACTCAAGCTACTATGAACTACCAATGCATGTCTACATAGTAAAGGCCTGGTTCCTACACCGATATACATAAATATCTGCATATTTGCTTATTTTGAGAAAATTAATAGCCATATACTCACATGACTTCCTATTTGCTCGTGACCGCTTCCTCTCTCTAGGCACCACTCGCTGGCTTGGCACTTGGGTGGCGGACTTTACAATACGATCCATGATCTCATCTGCTGCGTCATCCGTTGCATTAGGTGAATCATCGTTGCCAGTGTTCCATGAACTGATACGGCCTGGAAAAGTCCAGCAAATGAATTGAGGGAAAAGAAGACAGAAGTCTCTTGTGTCACTTTGGTTTTGCAATTGGTTTTTTTTGGGAATTACAGCAGACAGCTCAGTCATTGCTACTTCAAATTGGCCAAAGTAGAAGACTGCCTAACGGAGAATATTTCTAAATAATACCCTAGACTCTCTGCTGTATCAGCAGAGACCCGAGAGCTCAAATGCAATTATAACTTTCTATTCCCTTCAGCCTCAGAGTCTTATACTTGACCATACAACTGGCAACTGTCTGCTAGAGACTGTCGCTCCAGCCAAGGATTGCTGGAGTGTTGTGTGACCATGTTTCCCTCTGCTCCTATTACACAGAGACTAGAAGACATGGCACATGTTAGAAATTGATGCAAATCAGCAAGACAGGTCTTTTGTACCAAAAGAGAGAACGAATCCATTTCTGAGCATCTGTATCACAGCCTAGTGCAAAGAAGACATGAAAAGGGCAAAAAATGTGGTTTGACTTATCTACTTGTCCTTTTCACAATGAAGAATTCACCTTCTCATCACAGAGCTGTATGTGTTCTGGCACAACTGCGTGTGCCCTGTTATGAGCAGAAAAGCAAGAGTCGCTGGCAAGCTGAAAAGCTAAATAAGCAATTTTGGTTAAAACCACAAACAAACAAGTAAGCCATGTCTCCAAACCCAAGGCTTTGGCACTCCTTACTCCACAGAGCTGTGTCAGACACATCTTTGGGTTCCTCCACTACAGACTACTGTTCCGTGTGCTTTTTGTTTTTGAATAATTTGAAGGCTAGTATGCAGCGAGAACACTGACAGCGAGCTTTGCAAAAGAGTGGGTGTGGTAGAATTGCAAGCAGCTAAAAATTCACTGGCGAGGCCACTCCATATCACGTCCCCAATATCAATAAACAACAGCTTTGAATAGCACTTTGCTCTGCCGCTTCTCTCCTGGCTATCGTCAAAAGCAGTTGTGTTACGACAGAAGCTCCTGACAAGCTTCTGTCTGGCTCATTCATCCTCTGCCTCTGCTGTTCTTCAGGGGAACACAAGCTGACTCTCATTATCAGGACACACTGCTCATTAGCATTCAGTGGATTACTTCTGCTATTCAGCTTGTTGCAGTGCAGCTTGAATTATTTCATCTTTGTACTTTAGCTAGTTGACTTGCTTCTTAAATTGGGGCTGCGAAACCTCTAAATTAGACAGGATCATGGTTTCAAGCCTTAATAAACTACACACACAGAGACTTAGTGGTGGATGCTCTCTGGATGTGCTCAGTGGTATCAAAAAAGAATCAAGAAAGTGTAAGATATCCAGACGTGAGGGAAAAGAAATACCAGAACAGAAAACTGAAGACTTGAATTTGGTGCATCACCTTTACTCCAAAATCATCTTCCAGGTATCATGTGTATGGGAGGGGGTGAGGGGAAGACGAAAGAAAATAAACTGGTGAACCTAGTGTCTGTAAAATGATTTAGCATAAAGGAAGTGGTTTAGTGGCTGCTTAAATGAAGAGGTGTACCAGTGAATCATGTCTTGGACAAAAAACAAGGCTATCTCATTGCCAAGAATGGTTGTACCAGTGAGCTCTTCTGTCAGAGTATCAGGTGTTGGAATCGGCGGATTGGGTTAGGTTTTCATTTCCTCCCTGTCAGCTTTCAGAAATCACCCGTGCTGACATTTGGAAACAGCAGAGCACCATGGACCTCAGAGAAAGAGGTATCTGTCAGGACAGCAAGGAGATGCGGGGCTGTCCACAGCAGCTTTTTATGCTCCTAGGCTCCACTTAATCCACTAGCTTTACAGTTTAGCAGGGAGATGGTTAAAAGATTAACCGTTTTTTTCCTACCCTTTTTCCTCTCCCCAGTCATTCCTAAACTGCTGCAAGGCCCTTTCACTTCAATTTGAATTGCTACTTTCTACTTGCTTCTGTTGAAAATAAAAAGAAAACCACATCGTGGATCCCCATTTTGCTTTCACGATGAGAACAGGAATAAAAATTGGGGTGTTGGTGGGCAGCCACGTTCACAGGGGTGGGGGGAGAGGTATGAATTTCTGCTGGCTTGTTCTCCTAACGCCCCCGGGCACTACTTTGGCTGTGAGCCACGCGTTAAAACTTCACACGAATTCTCCTACATCCCCGTGCCCCAAATCACCACCTCCAGTGTGGAAACACCACTGGGGTCTTCTCCTTCCCCTTCAACCCTTTTGCCGCGAGCGCTACGCAAGGGGGCCACAACCTGTGTTTAGGCCACCGTGCAGCTACCGCGCCGCAAGGAATGTGGCCAAAAGAAAACTGCTGGCACTTACCTCGGCTGGCCCGGCTTCGAGTGCGAACCCCGAGCGCCGTGGTGCTTTCCCCGCTGATGGAGGAGGTCTTCAGCACAGCCTTCATGTTCTCATGCTCTGCAGCGTCCTCAGCGTACTGCAGCCCCTGGGGCTGGCTCTGGCAGGGGGGCGAGCTGCTGGAAAACTTGCCAGACTGCGGGAGGAAAACGGATTTGTTGTTTTAACAGAAAACAGCATGGAGAATAGGCCAGAGTCTTGACCGCAAATTGCAAGGAGAGAAGTGTCCTCTCGGGCTGGTTTGGACTGCAGATACTCCCGAAAGAGCCAGGCAACAGTTGCTCCTCTCCCAGAGCATGCACCCTGAACAGAAATAAACTGGAAACAGGGTGGCAGCAGGGAACAGCAGACAAAATCAGAGGAAAACCAGATGCATTAGCTCAAGCCTTATAATTTTGACCTTCTATCTGAGAGTATAAGGTAAAAGCTTGCTTTGAAACCTTCGACCCAGGCTGGGCCTGATCTGGGGTCAGGTATGACACTGAGGGAGACAGCATGAGACCCGACACAAATAAGAAATTGCTTTTTCCTGTACCATCACCTTTCAGTAACAAGGCAAAACTGGAAGAGTATTCTAGGAAGAGAGACCTTTCCCTCTTGCCTCTCTGCATTGCTGCACAGAAAACTCTCAAAATGGTCTAAAACACAAATACCTACAAGTAACCTTAAAATACATTACCAGTAATGCTGAAAAAATCCCCGGTCCCAAAACACCCAGCCAAATTATTTCATGGCCAAAACACAAAAACTGCAGTCAGCAGTTAGAAGAACAAACAAAACCTTACAAGAGATTTAGGAATCTGCCCTCTGCTTCCCCCCCCATGATTTCCCTGTCACCACGACTACATTAACAACAGCGGCTACATTAGCTGGGCTCCCATAGCACGTGGATGCAGCAGCTCCACCGGTGACTGAAAACAGCCGTCTAGAAACGGATGAAAACAGCAGTAACGGATACTTTCTAAGGAGAAGAGCATGCATCGCTGGGCTGCTCTCCCTTCCCAGCCTCTGCCTACAAAGGGCTGTGATGCTGGTATTCGCTCCACTGCTCTTATCTGCAGAAAGGCTAAAGCACATTTAAAATACAGTCCTGGCTGCAGAAAAGACAGGCTCTGTCAACAGCAAACAGGCATCAACAGATAATAATATCCCTCAGTATTTTCAGTCATATCAGTCCAGCATCAGAAACTGAAATATGTTTTCTTTTTCTTTTTAATCTTTCTTACTCCTACCAATTCAGCACAGATGAAAGAAGGTGTGCTGCATTCGCTTCTCCCTTTGCATAATAAACAACATTAATTATTCACTTGACAGTATCGAGCTAGTCAGTTAAAGGGATGCAAACCTGCAGAGCCCTTCTGTCAGAGAACGGTAAATTGGAAGAAAAGACTGGGCCCTACTTTCAGGGCTTTGATCGAGTCCCCGGGGCTGTCAAGACTGCAAACTGAAAGTATCTAATCTGGAAATCAATGACAGGATAATTCTATTTTAACATAATCACTTTGCGGGGTAGGATAGCAAGTTAATGGACGAGCAGTAGCAAAACAATAATCCCTACGAGGCACTGAACTAAATATATCAGTGTGAGATTTATTTTTGATAGTGAGAAGTTTGTTTTCTTGTTAAAATATTAGCTTGCAACATTTTGATGTGGGAAGTGTGCAAGTGCTAGAGTATCACATGTTAAATTAAAAGACAGAAAACCATTAGAGAGAAACTTCTATGAAAGTGCATGCCATTTTTGCATTAAGAATACTCTCTTATATACAATGGTTTGTAAAGCTGATCAATACCATCCCAGAAAAAAACCAAAGGACAAGGTCATCACATAATTGTTAGTTACTATTCACACAGGTTAGTTAAACGTTGGCATAAAAAGGCTAATTCGTGTAATTTTCTTTCTGCGCCCCAAGCTATACAGCACTAATCATCACTGGGGGAGAAGCTCTATAGTCAGAAGTTTTATTTTACTGCCTTAATTTTCAGATGTTGCAGTATATTAATGCCCAAACCCCAGCCTCTTGAGCAAATGACTGCCATTATGAAACAGTGAGCATTAAGCCACATTGTTTATGTTCAGCAAATTGAAGAAAGCTGTAATGCTGAACAAAAAATGCATTGCACAATAGATGCTCCTCAAACCAATAAATTGTTTTATTATGAACATAGCACATTATAGTTCTTAAATTATTTATTCACTCCTTTCTTCATTTTCAACATCACCTTCAGGAGCACTTTATGATAAATACATGAACTACTCTGTGGCTCACCTCTGTGGTGACTGAAGTATCTTATTCGCAGCTCATACAGCACGGAGAACCGCTACAATTTGCTTTGCATCCCTGTATCCTGATGCTTTTGAACACTTTATAAAATAATACCATTTGGACTTACACAGCTTAATAACGAGTATGAAATTGTCATGGTAATCTGTAGCCCAAGGTAACTGATGATCCCCATAACATTCAGATCACTGATGTTTTGGGTAGTGGGGATACTTTGCAGTTTAGTAAACAGACATTAAGGAAAAGAAATGAGGAAACTTAAAATTATTAAGGCCTCAGATCAGGATATCCTTATTCAAGAGAGCAGGTATGCATATGGTTAAAGCTGACTGTAAAAATGCATTCTTATGATTGAGCCAAAAAGCTATGAGAAAAATGTCATGGTTCATAGTTCCAGTTGAGCAGATGGAGTTGAGCAGTCCATACTATCTGAGTTAGAAATTAGGTGTCACAGCACACGGGGGACATGGGAATGACATGCTCTTTCAGAGAACCATACCTCAGCATCCTCCTCTTCATCGGTCTGCCACCGGAAACAAAGGACAGGGTGGAGAAGGACAAACAGCAAGATTTAGGAAAGACAGTATGGTCAACCACGACAGAGTAAAAGGTAACCATGGTACTGTTTATGCAATTATAGGAGGACATAAAAATACAGAGCATATAAGGAATTAATTCCTTAGATAATTAGCTTTTTTTTTTTTTTAAGTTAATTGTACATAGAACAGACTGTCACTGTCAGTAGGGTATATAAAAATTTCCTGATTTTTCTTAGAGAAATTATGAACTGAAACTACCCCTAACCCATCCTATTTCTCTCCCTTGAGCCATGCGGTTGCTTGCCCACTTTTTGCCCTTTGGAAATGGAGAGCACTAGGAAGGACTCCCTCTCCTTTTTCCAGCTCTGTTCAGCACAGGGAGGTCCTGGCTGCTTTCTCCCAGTGCAGGGGTCGGCTTCTTGGCAATTCCTTTTCTCTACACTGAAGTGCTTGTTTTAATTCCTTTTTAAAGCTGGGGCTTTTCAACTTCCAATTTAGCAGAGCACCCAGGTCAAATGCTGAGTAGTCTTTGAATAAATGTTTAAAGTTCTTCAGTAGCTGCCCGATATCAGATCCTGGAAATTAGAGAGATACAATTATGCTTTGTCATTCAGTGCTTTCATGCTTTGTGACAGCAGGTGTGTAAAACTATCTTGACAGTTACTCTACATTAAATGCAATGGGCATATCAAAATATTGTGGTAGACGGAGTGTTCTTAAATTTGGGGATTTACAGGGAATTAGCAAACTATCTAGAGCTGTGTTCCCAAATGCCTGGGGAATTCTTCATTGGGTTGTCAGATGCCCCACATGGAAGGTTCCCAAAGTAAAACAGAGTTTCTCAAGTATCTGGGCTCCTTGTTTCCATAATTTTCAGTTTGACTGCTTATAAAGTGCAAACACAGCCCAGAAATTCAATGCATTTTTTTATTTGTGGGTTTTGTTTTGTTTTTTAAAAGCAGCATTCCACCAATTCTATTCCCCTCCCTAGTGTTACTAATACATATTTTTTACCTTATCTCCATCTCAGCTATGATTTCAGTCTAGGATTGATACATTCTGTTCCAGAAACATTCATCATTAAAAATGAAAGTCTGATTTACTTTGGCCCTCAGCTTAGTTTCAGCACAATCTCCATAAGAAGATTAGCTGTGAGAGTGCTGAGCAGCACATTAACATTACTTTTTAAGGGTATGTTTTATTCAAAGAGTGAGATGCTTATTTTTCTTTGGACACAGTGGCACTGACAGAAACATGGGCAGATGTTTTGCAGCAGGACCTCATCAGGTTGGACGGGGCTCTGAGCAACCTGATCTAGTTGAAGATGTCCCTGCCCACGGCAGGGGGGCTGGACTAGATGACCTTTAGAGGTCCCTTCCAACCCAAACTATTCTATGATTCTATGATATTCCCTTTTCATTAAAAAATCCTTTTGTTTTTTTCCATTCCCTGGGTGGCAGGGAGTCACACCGTAAAGCAATTCTTCTGAAGAAGGCCACTGTTCACTTTTTGGCATGAATAAGAAACAGAAAGGAGAAGAATGAGAAGCAAGAACATACTTGTATTCTAATCCATATGTACATCTATCTAATAAATAAAAGGCAGGAGGAGAGGAAATTAAGCTAAACAATATGCAAAGGGCACTCAGAGAAAGGTGAAATAGCGGAGTGCACACATTACAAAGGGTGTGCTCCAAACAAAAGTGTATTATATTATTACTTTATATCAAGCTAGATTTTTACAAGTGAAGCCCCAGCTGCTGGCCTTCCTGCCCATTTGATCTAGCTAGAAGTGATTTGCTGCGGACTTACTTTAAGGGCAATGTACTCCTCTCTGTTTGACTTTGCTCATCTCCAGTACCTGGGGCATGACCATTTCCCTTCCTCCTGCTCTGGGTGGAGAGGGATCACTCCTAGAACTGCTGTCCTTCTGCACCCAAAGCTACTCCTGTGCACAGGAGGAGCAGTTCACCATCCCCATCATGTTTCCATGTCTGGAGAGCCATTTGCCCCCAGCAATACTGACAACAGGAGTCAAAGTAGCAAAATAAATAAATCAAACTTTTGTTTCACAAGGGAATCTGTTCTCACCCAGGAGTGTACATTCTGCCTTTTATTTCCTCCTTCATTTCATCATTATAAATACACGGAGAAATATTAATAAATTAGGAAATTTTTAACACGTAATATTACCAAAAAGCGCTGAAAGAATATTGCTATACTGAATACTTCTTGCAGGCACAAGATGTTAATTTTTTAAAAAAAGGCTGCTTGATTCTTCTGTCATCCAATATTGGATGTTGCAGGACAATCTGAGATCTCCCTCCTTCCCTCCCTCCCTTCCTTTCTTTCTCCCTCCCTCCCTCCCATTTTTCCTTTAGGCTAGCATTTCTATGTGGTGGATTTGCCATTTCAAAATATTATTTCTATTACATAGCAATTTTGGAATTGAAACTCTTAAGTATTGTAAAAAGCAGAGCTTCATAAATCTGGGAGACAGATGCTTATATTACCTACTATTATTAAAAATCATTAAAAAGCTCAAACTTGTATCTATAATTGCATTTCTTCTCTATTTTGCTTGCTTGTTATTTTTAGTGTGCCTGAAATGAGTGCTATCATTGGCTAAAGCCATATATAAGGTTACAGAGACTAGGCAATTTTCCCTGTGAAACTGTGGCAACTCACTGTTCTCCTTTTTTTTTGTCCTTACACCCCCCTCCATCTTTCTCTTGTGGCCAACATTCACCAAGATTTAAACTGACAGTGCCCAGTCCACTTCAGCTATTAAAGAACATATAAACATAAAGATCTCTGTGGTAAAAGCCTGAAAGAAAGACTGGAAATATTCCCCATCGCGTTTCTCAGCCCTACTCCATGTGAGTAGTTGCTGAAGCTGATGCAAGTTCTCCACGCAAAGAGCCAGCAGACTCTCCACGCAAAGAGCCAGCACCCCTCTGCCTTCCAAGTCTGCAGGGGGGCCCAAGGTTTAAGAGATACGTGCCTTCTCGTTAAGAACTGGGATGATTCTGGCTTATTCCTTTCCCGTTTTTGCTAAAATCCCTCTTCTTCTGCCTAAAAGCTATGTACTGTAAGGTGATAAAAATGAGATCCCGAGGAAACTTTCAAAAGGACAGGGAGGTAAATACCAAATAACCGCACAATCCTTCTAGGTCACCAACAGCAGAAATTAAAATTCCCCATGACTACTTCTTATTAGGATTACTTTCTACAAAGAGTTTCTTTCCAGTGTCAAGATCTAAACTTTCGTCTATCAGTGTTTTGTAACTAGTTGAACATACTGTCAATGCATTACTGATATATCTTCCCTTTCCAACGCCTTCAAATATAAAACACTAAGAAAATCAAGACCAGATAAAAATCACAGCCAACACAAGACTACAATAAAACTCTCCTTTTTCATCATTCTTCACACACAAATATCTTCCATCCTGCCGACTTGGAAACTTGTTGTGAGGTAGATCTGACTTTGAAGTTGTCAAAGGAAGCTGTGACAAATAGTCTGATGCAACTTTAATTCTGTTTTACCATATACTGCAATCAAATGAACGGTGAACGAGGCCATATTACTGGGCTACAGTTAAAGAGATTTAGTAAGTCCTGAAATAACCATATGGCCACATGAATAACTCCCTTAAACAACATCTCTATAAGGGGAATTTTAAAGAATGTGGTTTTTTACTCCAGCAGACTTTTTGTTTTTAAGCTAACAGGACCATTATATAATTGTAGATTAGTGATAGGCAAAAAATGCTCCCTTTCTGGGGACCTGCAAGATATTTTCAGGTGGAACACCAGCTGTCAGATGGCATTTAATTCTTCTCAAATCCCAACACTACCTTGAGCTGAACAAGAGATCTTCTTCCAATAATACAATTTTCTGGGAAAGGCCTTGCTGCCTCCTTTCTTACATTTTCAGAAAACGGCCACTGTCCCTGGCTCTGCTCCTCACTGACTAGCCATCAGCCCTGAGCCGCCTTCTGGTTTGAAAGGGTCCCTTCTGTCCGCCTCCTGAACCCAGCTGCCAGTGATCAGATTCCCTTTTCCCTACGCGTTTCCTGCAGGAACGGGATGTAGGGAAGCTTTCTGTCCCGCCACAGCCAGTTCTTCTGGACAGATAATGCAGAAACACTACATCATACAGTAGGAAAACAGTAACTCCTTCGTGTCTCAGTATTGTTTAAACTAGTGAAAAGCATTGAAGCTACCTGAGGAAATGAGCATTTTAATTTACTAATCTCTTCAGTTACTGTTATCTTTTAGCTCTGCTAGAACACGGCAGGAAAACCGCGAAGCAACTGCAGAAAGTGATCTCAGTTCCCCAGTGGTAGTTTTGAAAATTTGTATACTATACCCTTCGCATAAAATCAGAGCCTCTTCCTAACCTGAGGCTAGACCAAAAGGAAAATCTTTTGAGATAATAATACAGGTTTAACATTTTCTCTAGATGGGGCAGATTTCCAAATTTAAAGAGGATATTGCCAGGAAAGATCTACAAATGATGGCGAGTCAGTGACTTAAATACAATCTCAATTTATATCAGTCTCAATACATATCTATATTTTGACCCATGTTGCCTGAGCCATAAAACTGTAACCAGCTTAGGGCTTTTCATGCCAAAGGCAGGGGCAGCTTTATATGCAACGAACCACTCGCATCTAATCGAGACTCCAGATCTGGATTTTGAGACAGCTGGAAACTTTTATCAAGTACTGGCACTTCTTAAAACTTTATTTGAATTGAGTCAAACTACATCAATTTTAAAAAAAGAAGATAAAAAAAAATCAAGGGGATTTTAAAGCTTGCTATGCTGAGAAAACTAATCCTATTTTAATTTATTCTATCAGTATGCAATCATACAGTCAAAAAATTTGCAGGGTAACATCTACTGTGAACATAAATTTGTCCATTCTTTCAGAACCCCAAAGTAGCCTGTTCCCATAAAATTGGCTGTTCTGTGCTTTAAAGTTAAGAAGAAAATTGCTGTGCGTGTGCATGCATATATATACACACATAAAAATAGATAAAATACCAAGATTAAAGACTATATTAGAATATTCAAAGATGGAGGAAAAAATCCATTTAAATTCGATTGTAACCACTTAAATGGCTACAATGGTTCATCATTTAAATCATGTCCTCAATTAGGAGCCTAATTTCTAGTTTTTTTCCTTTTTCATATTCTTGGCTGATCAGGTACACACAGTTCCTGGTGTCTTCTAGATATTTTGGGCACTGTCTGTGCAACACACAGAGATGCTCTTTTTGGATGCTTAATTTCAGTTTGTTGTCATTCTAGAAATCGGTATGAAGCAAAAAATATACACAATCAAGGACTTGCAAGTTTTGTCTTCTAAGAGAACAGAGTTCATTACTTACAGTAGAAGAACCTCTTAAGAATAAAAATAAAGAGTAACAACACTTCATATACGACATTCGATGAAAGAAAGTTTTAAAAATCCATGCTGTGGGAGATACATTTTGCCACTTACATCTGTTATCATTTTCCCTCTGGTCTTGTTTCTTTCCCTGTGGTTAGCTCGTTTCTGTTTTTGCTGCAAAACTCGTTCCCTGGTGGTGCGGTATTCCAGAGCAAATTCGCTAATAATTTTGCAGAACTTATTGATGTTGACTTCACGTATTGCATAGGGAGGATGGCCCATAAATAACAAAAATGAGTGAAACCTGGAAAACAATGAGTTCATAAATGCAAAGGGAAAAAATCTTTATTGATGGTTTCTGGAAAAAAACCCCACATTTCAGTGAACCCATTTATTACTTTATTAGCTCCCATCGTTTCTTTTGTGCTACAGAATTTTCATGGATGCTTTGCATAACACTGGCATGTTTTATAATTAAAACCATGAAAGTCTAGTCTATGATAACTTCATCCCAGTCCACTTTCCCAGGCTGATGCAGGAGATAAGATGTTTATGGAACTCCATCTACTTTATATGACTAATTTGGCATGTGAATGACCAGTTTCGTTTTGGTTATAGAAAAAATATTTATTAAGTTTCAATTTTATTTATTTGTATTAAGCAACTTCAAAGAGGCTGTTAGGATGTTGGGGAAAGTCTAGACAAGAAGAATGCAGATTTACAGGCTAGCAAACACAAGAAGGAAAGCATTTCTGGTTCACAAAACTGACCATAAAATCATATTATCTACCAAGTACTTTAGTTTGGGATACTCTCAATTCACAGTTTTACTGCTTCTGTGGCATTCAGAGCTTTTGCAGTATTTGCAACTTTTGCTATTGCTTCTATATTGCGTGATTTACAATAGCGCACTGAATGTTTAAAAAGGTATGGGAATTCCTTTTAACTGCATCTACATCCCTGACGATAAAAAGTCTTCCCAATCCTAGAAAGATGCACGTACATGGATACATTTTTGGAGAAGTATAGTAGTAGTTGCAGGACATAATAGGAGAAAGTTAATATTTTTCTTATTTGTACAATGCATATGATAAACACAACAGGAAACTGGTGAATTCACTTCCCTTCCACTGCAATTGGGATGTCTGCTTACTTATGGCATGAAAACCAAATCATTATGAAAACAAAAGAAGAGCTGAATCAACTTCTCAAGAGTATATCCACAAATTTAGGATCATTTGGAATCCAGATCCTAATTTTGACCACAGCAATTTGGAAATTATTCACAAGTTGGAAAATCTCTCAAAATTTCATTAATAAGCAGGAACACAGATAAATTACTCAGATGACTTAAGCTCCATTTATGAATCTGAAAAAAAAAAGCTCAGGTGTATTGCAGAATTACCATGAATATGTACATTTCAAAGCACTGCAATTACTGTTAACTCCATTGGATGAAACTAAACCCAACAGCAAGTCCTAAGGAGAGGAATCTTAATTCTGTCTTCTGCTGCGTAGGCATAAAACACAAAGTCATAGATCTTGCAAATAGGAATGGTGCTGCCTATAGAAGAACTCATTGTACAAGACTCGTTTCAATATCTGCATATGACAAATTCGTCATTAGAACTTCATTTTTTTGCTACAGCCTGTTCTTGTTTACCAGAGAGTGAGTCAACCCCCCTCAAAAGTATTCAGGGAAGGACAGAAAATATAGCAACTTAATCATAAAGCTGCTGGCTTTTGGGGACTAGGTGTTAAAAGATAGTTATTGCACCTTGGGAATAAATGATTGTCTGGATCATTGCTCTTTTCATCAGAAATTCAGAAACTTCCTGGAGTAGGGATCTTTCTTAAATGGTTTCTATAACAAAGAATGCACCACATACATCCTGGTAACATTACTTGCTGGAATGTGGATTACACACTTAAAAACATATTTGTGATGTCATAATTTATAATTTTAGCAAGTCATTTATTATCAAGATATTGCTGTCACCAATCTAATTCTGTACCTGTTAATTATTCTTCTATGAACAATCTTCAGGATTATGATTCTTTCTGCACAGTCTTTAAGGAACTCGGACATTTTTTGCTTTAGAGTTGGCTTCATTTCATGCTTTGCTATAGCCTTAAGGTGATCCCATGATGCTTTGCACCGTCTTTCCATCTGACACAAGTTTTCCTGGAGTTGTTCAAAGTCAACCTGAAAAAAAAAGAAAAGAAAATAAAATGTAACACTTTAAGCAAAAACACTTCGGTAGTATCCTTGGATATCTGAACAATGCAATGTATGTATAAGAAAGGGTCAATGTAGTTGCAGCACAACATTAATTCACATTATTAATTACTGCTAAATAATTCAGAAATAGCGCTCTCTATCACACTTTGTCTAGACATGAAATGTTAGTAAGGAAAACTGAAAACAAAGAAAAACCCATATATGTATATATTTGGTTTTAGTCTTGGAGGCCTAACACCTAAAGAAGGGACAATAAAATATTGTGATGTGTTTTTTCCCTTGCTAATAACTCCACGCCTGCTCCAAGCAACTGCATGACTCAGTTATTTCTGAGGTAATACAAAACTTTATCTTTTTCTTAATCCTTTTCTCTACTACTCATAGCTTTTTATACCCTGTTTACTGCTCACTGTTGTACCCAGCCAACACTTCTCCAATTTAGGAAGCACTTGGATCTATTCCCTAGCCATGCACCGACTTGTTAATACATGATCTACTTCTAATCACAAAATTCACGGGCCAGAATTTTTTAAAGCTCTATTGAAAGTAAGTGTTATTTAATGATCTCAGCACTAACTTTCATCCTTTGATATACAGTACGAATATGCCGGCTTGTAACAAGATCATATAATGGCTTTGAAAGTCTCTCAACGCAGTTAAAATAAATGACTGCATCCTACAGTAACACTCATCAGGACAGAAGCCAACACATTCCACAGAAGGTAAGAGAGAGCGTCTCCTTTATTCATCAACCAAAAAAGGTGTTCCAAATCGCAATGGTCTACAGAAGACATTCAGGATGCGTTGCTAACAACCGGACAAAGTGCATTAATGACCCAGCCACAGCACACAACAGATGAAAACAGTAAAACTACCTAACATGTTCTTGAATTCTGAAGAAAGGAAGAATTTATTTTATAATACCACTTCACAGTTCAGATGAACTCAAGCTATAAAATACAGATTTAGCTCTCAGATTCTAAGCACGTCAGTGTTTGGGATGTTACAGTCTGGTACTCTAGTTAATTCCTTAATGCTAAATGAAAACCAGTGTCAGAGACAGGTTTTAGTTCACTCTTTTTAGCTGTGTGCAGCACCCACTGCTGAGACCTATACTGAGGATAGCCATAAGAAATGCATGATTATTAAAAAGCTCCTGGTATTGATTTGATTTGTTTTTGCTATGATTTATAAAGTGATGAATTTTTCCTCTTCACAAGGAAATAAAAACATCCTTTGATCCACTCTGCTATTCAGAAAAGCCCTGCAGGCGGAGCAGCTGTGGGGTTTTTGTTTTCCTTATATCCATATCAATGCATATGTTTAAAAAAAAAAAAAGAGTCCTTTCCAGGTCAGTATTTTCACTGTTGATGATAAACACATTGCTGCTCTCCATAGACGGTATATCTAAAACACGCATGGGGAAAAATACTACCCTTCCTATTAAGGAAAAAAAGCCAAGAGGAAGTATTTCTAGGTCTTACTTGTAAGAATTATCCAACCTGGCTGGGGAAGTCTCTCAGCCCCTGCAGCAGAGAAATTTAATTTTATGACCTTTTATGACAGCTTTCACTGAAAACGGAATGAGTTTTAATCTATCAAAAAGCTCTGAGGTTCAAGCCTGTAGGGGTTCAAGAGACATCTCTGGAGAACCGCCTATCTGCAGGGAAAAGATGTGGCAAATTCCCTGCCACATGAAACCCGCCAACAGGCAGTGCATTCGGAAGAGTGGGCAGTTTCAGCGGGGACTGGGGATGCACAGGAATCTTTGAGCACAATCAAAAATTCAGATGTCTGGGGAAATCCTAAGGAGACAGCAGCAAGGAGAATGCCACCTGAGCTCCCCTAGAATATATCTCCGTGGAGCACAGATGGCTCTGCTTGAGCAGAAGTTGTAAACTCCTGGAAGGAGTAAAGCAGGAAATCCAATATAGGATAACGTGTCTGTGAATTCCCGCATGCAAACTGTCCTGTGCCCACAAGAATGTGACAAACCTTCATGAAACTGAAAATCTTCTGGCTGCCAGCTCTCCAGAGTTTGGTCACTTGTTTGTGGACACACTTACAGAAAAATATCCATGTGTGAAATACTAAAAGTCAAAATTTTTCAGAGACAACCATGTACCCCACCTGATATTTCATGAAGTGCTATTTCACCAGTGCAGATTTTGCAGGCAGGCACAGAATCCATTGCATTTTAGTCTGCTCTAGGTCTTACATGCAAGGACTTAAGTGAAGCTTCTTCACACGCGATATACCATACAACATCCCTTTCCTCTATCCAAGGTGTAGAAACTGCCTCCCAACAGAGCACCAGAAAACAAATCTAAGTCTTCAGATCTTTCTAAAAAAACCAAGCAATCAAACAAAAAGACTAGCATTTATCAGCCTGCTGACAAGATTTTTCCTATTAGATCTCGCAGAAGTGAGATTTAAATGTTCAGGCTGGATCAGCTCAAAGGGAAAATTCTGAAGTTAAAAATATTTGGACTCTACTGAAAAACATTTGACAGTTTGCAGCTTTAGAGTACTACCTGCATGACATTTCAAACCACAGAAAACAAGCTTCCCCCCGCCCCTTTTTCTCCTAACAGCAATAGCACTAATGGGATGCTCTCCAATGGGAAACAGTGTAATGTGTCAAGCATGGTCACCCTCGCTCTACCTCCTCTCTGCTTAATTTACATACCTTGCCCTCATGTTTCCTCTGCTATCCCCTTTTTTTCTTCAGTGCTCACATTCAGATAAGAAATTAGCTGTAAACCTCGTAGCACAGTAAAACTAAAGATCCCCTGACCGCTGATCTTCTAACTGGACTCTCCTGCAATTGCAGACACTTGTACACAGGATCCAGGTGATGTTTTTTTCCAGGCTAGTGGAATATAACATCCAGGTTGCATGCCAGCAATTAGTGTATCTTAAGCGTAGCTATCAACCCTCACAAAGACTGGCTTTCCGTGGCTATCTGAAATAGCAGTATGTATAAACTGTTAAAATACACCAAAATCCTGTTAAGTAATATGCTCTTATTCTGCAAACTCTTACATTTTCTAAGCCTTGTAATGTGTTGGACTATTAACCAAGACAGACAGCTACTAATTCCCTTAATCATGAGCACCAGACTCCACTGAAAAGCAGGATCCTGAGGAATCTGACATCCTCAGATCCTTTTCTCTCTTCGCTGTGAAGCCAAATGCATCATGGACGTGAAGGAGTTTTTATCATATTCTAAGCAGCAGCAGTCAAACGACTAGGTGGCCAACAAGTGTCTCCATTTTATGCACATTTGTATCATAAAACAGCAGGTACTTGCATCAGTGGAAAACGTAAGTAAAATTCAAATCCATCTCAAAAGCAACAACTTAGCCTCAATTTAACTGAGGTCATCGACCATGGAAGATGAGCACAGTGGTCCAAACATAGATCTAGTATTTGTGCACAAATGTTTAAAAGCAGTCACACTGTTTAGCAATATCCTTGTAATTTCTTTTTTTTTTGGCCATTTTTACTATTATTGTTGTTCTGTTTAGGATGTCTTCTAACACTGAAAGTGTTATATACAAATATAACAGTAACAACGATGAGAAATGATCTCCCAACTACGTGTCCCTGTGATAAGGAGAACAAGCACTTGTGTGGAGTAATAATGACAATTATTCAACCTAATATGCATAAAGGAAACATGAAAAGGCATATATAACAGCATACCACATCCCTGCCAGTCCACACAGCATTCCCAAGGGAAGAAGGATTGCACCTTTTCATTTATACGTTTATTTGCAACACTTTACTAAAAGAATTAATGCTGCATAATGGTAGAAAGACACAATTCCTTTCTTTTTTTTTTCTTTCTTTCTTTCTCGAAAGGAAAGATGCACCAATTCTTGCCCGCAGCTGGAAGGCCATGCTGGGACTAAGGAGGAGTTCAGGTGAGTTTCACATCACATTGTGGCTCCAGGAGATCTCAGCATAGGAGGTGCTCGAACAAGAACCGCTGTGGCATTATTTTATAACTACGCTCCGCTGAATAAAAGGAAGCAGTAATCTGAAATGGTCATTACAGCTTTATCCCTGGATAGCTGTTGTGCCCAGCCCCAGGTTTTGGAGGAAGGTGGTAAACACACATTCTTCTTTCTCCTCAACTCAGTTCACGTATGTGCAAAAGACATGCAGCTTGCTAGTCCTGCTTACTGTTACCTTCTGCTACAATTTTAAAAATAAATCTCTTTTTTTTCCTCAGGCAAAAGAATGAGTGGTCTTAGGTTGTTACGCAAAATAAAAATGACTTTTCTTTCAGACACTGTGTAATGTTTATTTGCATTTGTAAACCAATTTAGAAAAAGCAACTTTCTAGACGCTCCTGGGACATATTTGATATGTTCCTCCTTTCTCCTGCCAGGTTCCTCTCCATTCACAACCACACTAGCTGAAAAATATTCAGAACTATTCGTTACTTATCTGTGAAATCTCTTGCTAGGCCCACTGTTCAGTCTTCTGAGAAGTGCCTTTGTAGACACTGTTGCATCAGAGTGGAGTAGCTGGAGACAGTCCATCCAAATAGGATTTAAAGACTAGTTTACGTGACACAAGGCCTGCAGGGTCAGCCTCATTCAGGAAACCATTGCCATAAGTCACTAATGGGCAACTTAAAAAAAAATAAATCTATTTTTCAATTTAATGCACCATCATATTTTGCACAAATGACACTCAGACCAAGAATAAAACCCTCCAACCACATGCCAGCAACGCCAGCACTCATTTTAATCCCTTTATATAATTATTTATTGCTTGCTACCATAGTAACAGATGACTCTGCCATGAACAACAACAGAAAAAAGAATTCTACCAGGTTTCTCACTTCACTGGGCTGAGACTTCAATATCGCACGATACACCTACTGCTCAAATGACGCTGGTTTTCACCTGACTCAAAAACTACCACCACCACCACCATCATCAAGTGGC